GGACTTGTTCTGCACAAAGTCTATATATCATGGGTGAAGTGATTTATTTCATATATCTATATATATGTAAATATAGATGGAAACATGTGAATAGTTTTTCACAACTTACTAAAGGAAAAACTTATTCCAAGAAGAAAATTAATGACTTATTATTTCTCAAATTGGTTCCCTGCCCAAGAAATACGAGGAATGATTCCAAGTGCACTGTAGTCAATCTGTGCCCTACGTAAGTCCCATGTTGTTGCTCATGGTGGTCCCATTAAAATCGACAATGACAATAACAAATGTTATGACATTGATGAAATTCCCACCGATTCGGACGATGTTGATGACTTTGATGATGATGATGGTGATAAGAGTGATTTAAGTGGTGGCGATGATGAAAATAATGCTCAAAGCAGGAAGTGAATGTCTAATGATCATCTAAGTTCATTCTTCTTCTTCGTGATTATCCATGTGCTTGATCAAATTGTCTTCTTATTGATTTATGGTGTTTCTTTAATTAGGATACTACTCTGTTCCATGTTTAATAGTTATTTTATCACTTTCTCATTCCTTTTTCAGAGTTTTTATTTGGTCACTACAATACTACCATACTGATGATTTATGTCATGGGCAGGTACTAGTCACTAGTAATGCTACCATGCTTCTGAATATGTTGTGGACGAGTGCTAGTCACTAGTTACACTACCATGTTGACGAGTTTGTAAGGCACTTAGATTCGATTTAAATGGCTTTTCAGAGTATTCGTTATTGTGATAGACGTGAATTACACATTGATACGATTGGGAGAATGGTTTATGATGGTGATGATAGTGATTTTCTTAATTTAAGGTTGTCATTATGGATAGCAAGATTATGGTATGATTCCTTGTTGCTTATTGATCTTCTTGACAACTTGTCATCCTTAAGGTTCCTTTAGGGTGTTTGACTTGAGGATGTTTTTATCGACACCGAATGACACAAGATTATATTGGGATTGGATGATTGATCTGATTTCCTTTTTCTTTCATATGGTTTTATGATTGAGGTGACGTCTTTTTCAGGCTTTGTGATGTGTCCTAGAGATGATGAATTGAGCATGTGTCCTAGATTATTTTTCTTAGGGGATGTGCCTAGATTTCAGGACGAAATCTCTTGAAAGAGGGTAGGATGTAAGCACTTATTTTCTTTTTTTGATTTTATCCTTCACTATTTGTGTCCTTTATACGTTCTTTTATGTGGTGGAATGTGCTTCTAGATCTTTTCTTGGGACCTAAAGGATCTTTTTCCAGACTTTTCATTTGTTGGGTGTATGGGCCCGGAATGAGGGAGTGTGGGCTCGAGGCAGCCCAAGTGTTTGGGATTGGCGATGGCCTAAATAAATGATGCTTTATTGATATGTTTGTGGTGGAAAGTGGCCATAGTGTAATTAGATGGAAGTACCTTGGAAGAAAAGGAGTAAATATATTGATACTTCTGGGGTTAAGTGGCATAATTACCGCAAAGTTGTAGGGTAGGCTATATATATGATAGGAAAACTATTTTTTGGGTCATACATTTCATTTATCTTCCATCTTTCTCTCTCTATATCTATACATATATTAGCCTCCATGTATAAGCTTAGAAAAGCTTGGATTTGAAACACTTAGGTTAGGATTTGAGATGCATCTAAGAGGAGAAAGTTCTTATCCTCTATCCCTTCTTCATTTTCATGGAAGAAAATTTTCATTTGGAGCACTTTGGGATTTACGTGTGAGTTAGGGTTTAGAATTTGAGGAAGCCATAAGAGGACTTTCTTCTCTCCTCTTTATCCTCTACAATTCCACGGCCTTGGGTTTGCATTTGTAGCACTTTTGCTCCAGTAAGATTTACAGTTTTCACTCCAAAGTGAGGTAGGGGTGTGTTATGTCTCCAATTTATAATTTCTTTGCATTTTATGAACATAGTGTGTGTTAAACATGCTTTAAATGAGTTGTGTAGTGTTAATTTTCATATAAAGTGAGGTATATGTGTAGAAATGATGCATCAATGATTTTCTTTGATAAATTATATGTTTAACACGTTGAATAGATTCATTATGATGGTACATTGATAGCCATAGAGTATATGCATGTTTATATGTATATTTCTTCATGTGAAGCTTACTTTAAGTTAATGTATGTGCCATTGTGGCTACTGTTGGTATTTTATATGAAATTATATTCATTAAAGCGTGTGAATAGGATATTAATTGACTTATTGCACTCCAAATGTTTGTTAAATTACTTATATGATGTAAGTTGATTACTTCATGATTAGATGAAATTAATTGACTTATTGCATTATAATTGAATGATAAAATATCAAGGTGATTAAATTTGGATAATATATGATCATATGGTGATATAATTGATGATATTGCATTAAATAGTATGTCATGATAATAGCTTAGCCTCTAGGACATGGCTTATGTGGCTTTCATTCAGTAATGTGCGCTTGTGAATTACTAAGTGAGATTATCAAGGATATGTGTTATTTTGTGGAATTGGATATTGATTAGTGGATATACTTGGGAGTTTTGTTACTTTTATTGTGAGGACTCGGTGCTCGCGGATGAAACATGATTTTTCCACTTTATAGTGGCCACTAGGTTAGATTCCGGTGGGTTAGTAGCCCATGAATGACTATTTTATTATTGTCACATAATATGGCTATGTGACTGGGAGTGTGGGTGTGTTCAAGTTAACCCTTTTATTGATTTCAAATCCTTATTTGACAAGTTGGCATCCACATGTAATTGTGGCTTGGGGCTTATTTTCATTTCATCCTAATTGAATATGTTTACTTGTGCTAAGTAAGTTTCGATTCTTACTTATGTATGACTTGTGCATATATTAGTTTTAGGATGATCCTTCAATAGGTTCCCTTGAGACTTGATGTCGGGAGCATGACCTTGCATCACTTAGCCATATTATGTTTGTAAGGTTCAAGGAAACGTAGCTTATTTCATACCATATCCCCTACTGAGCATTATTTGCTCACCCCACGTTGAATTAATAATTTTCAGGCAAAAAAGGCATTGCCTTGAGGATCATTCCCTCCATTAGTCCGTATGGTGCTTTGATGACGTTTTTAAAAGCTAAACATTATGTTTTGACATGCTATATGTATATCTTACTTGGAATTTGTAACTGATTTGAGTTAGAAATGAATACCTTTGGACAATGTAATCAAGGTAAAATCGAGTTTCAAGTACATGTAAGTTGCACAATCCAATTGCACAAGATAAACTACAAGTACCTCCACGTGGGGTTAGTACAAGTGGATGTGAAGCCTTTAACTAGAAATGCTTTGAATACATCTATCTTGGTTTGTCTTCATGATGGTCGATATCTTAAGTTCAATGATTTTCTATTAGCTAGACACCATGGAGTCATCCCTCAGTGATGGACCACTTATTTCAATTGTTATCCAAACTATTCAGTGCCACTAAACAATGTTCTAGACAATTGGAAACTGTATGTTAGAACTCAAAATGGGAATGATCAGGAGGGCTCACAAGATATTTCTATTGTTGATGTGGTTTATTACAAAGTAATGACCGCAAAATGCCTTTTTGGTTCACACTCAAAAGTGTCACTCTCAACCGGGAAAACTACTTTCGTATAGATGAATCTACTCAAGGATAATGTTGATGTGACGAACATCGTGGAATGGGATTCAATTCAAGTCTCAAACGAACTCAATTAGGGTTTGGATTTTTGATCTCATTGTGAATTTTTTACGATGTATGCATTTATCAGATGACACACGCATATCATCAAAACACCAACTGGCATGTTTGGTGTGGTTTAATTTCTTAGTGAGAGGAAGCTATGCTAAAGGTGGAATTGTTCCATGTTAAGGAATGAAGCTAGTATATGGTTGGCAATTAGCATAAAAGGTGTCGGTGATGGTTTGGGTGGCTTGTTTTTTGTTGAAAAATATATATTTCATGTGACATTTAAGATATAACAAAACCTTATACTAATATGTTATGAGATAATTAATAATGTGTTAAAAATAATTAATTAAATATTCAACTAAATATTTAATTAATAATGCAAAATAAAGCAATAACATAAATAATAATAAATAAAGAACTTAGACCAAGGCTAGTATTTGATAATATATCCTTAAGACAATTTACGTCCCGTGTCATACTGACGGACTCTATTGCGCTTATCTCATAGGATACAACGGTCTATATCCACTAGTAGCAGCATTACAAACTCGTGGATACGACGAACCTCATCCTCTGTGTAATACTCTCTTTGACTCAAAAATGCATCTATATCATATAAATGTTGAATTGGGCGTCAGTGTGTCAAGTTGTCTCATGACCACTATTCTTGTGAATTTTTTGGGCACTTTACATGATTTTGTAGTGTGTGTTAAATGTTGGATCCATCTCTTGTGTGGAGTCTGAAAGTCCTCAAGGTGATGTGTCCTTTAGGAACCACCCAGGTAGGGGTGATGGTCATCAGATTGCTAGTGACATAAAGGTTAGGTTGTTTCTTTGACTTTGGATAATAAGGATAGCAAAATGGCATCTCTTGTGATTTCGTTGATATTCGGTAAAGAAAGTGTTTTGGTTGGAGCCTTTCCATTTAAAGAGGTATATTTTAAGGACGAACTATTTTAAGGAGGGTAGGTTATAAGGTCTCAAATTTTTTTTTTCTTCATATTTTTGGCATTTTCTTATTTTATTGTCATCATTATTTTCTACACATAATTGTATGCCAAGTAGGTTCCAGATATCATTTAGAGAATTTCCTTTAAGTTTAAAACTCTCAAAGATGCATTATGGGCCATTTTGCCATTTTTGGATTTTCGGGCCTGAGAGGTCCCGTGTGGGACCAGAGGCGAGTTTTTGTGCTTAAGAATTTTCCTGATTTATTTTCTCATGTTATTATCTATAAGGTTATGTGTTTATTTGTGACTAAGTATAATTATTTTAGTGTGAGTGTGTGTGTAAATATATATGGCATGGAGGACTTTTTAGAGATTGTAGTGCATACATCTGACCTAGAGATGGCTAAAACTTAAACACATGGGTTTAGTCATTTTGGTGCCACAAATATGATATTCTTCCTCTCTCTATCCGTAAGACTCTCTCTCACTACATTTCCTTCTTTTTCCTTTATTTAACATTTTTGCATGCTTCAACAGAAGATTTGATCTAGTCAAACTTGGATTTTGGAGGCGAGCTAGTTAGAAAAGTTGGCAAGCACAACGAGGGATACCCTCTAATTGTCTTAGATTCGAATTTGGTGGAATTGCACTTTGACCCGAGGTTCTGCTTTGATTTCAAGGCAGGGGTGTTTGACCAATAATGCTTTAGTCCCTTGTGAGTATATTTGATTTTATTTTCACCTTTAAGCATGCTAGAATTGGGAAATTTTGAATATAATTACCATAGTTATATTTAGAGATGGGAATGCCATATATGTTTGATGTTCGTAAATTTGTGGTTTTTGTCACTTAATTACTTAATTGCCTTATTATGTGATCACATGTTGAATTTGAAGTTTGTACATGACTATTGTGATGATATACATGCATATGTATGTTTCCTTGCCTACTAGTTTTGTTGAATTATACTCTAGTTGTTCAAATGTGATTATTTTCCATAATGTCTACAAGTTGCTTGATAAAGTGCCTCAATGAAAATGTGTAATACTTTTGATAGGAATAACATGTTTTCTTGGTCTACCATAAGTGCTCACATATGATGAATTGATGAGAATGTTCATTTAAATAGTTAGCGCTGGCATGGAAGTGGAGTTGAGTTGGTTTGGTTAAGGATGGGACTGTTTCTCTTTAAAAAGTTCTATGAAAAATGTTTGTATACAAGGAAAGGCCAGAAGTCGTGATCCGGTGGCTAATTCAACCTAAAGGGAGCAAAAGTCAGATAGGATATGTATGGTTGAACTAACTAGGCCCCAAATGGTCATCGGTGAGAGGTCAGGGATAGTTAATCAATTAACTTCGCTTCGGTAAAGTTAATTAGCGATTTTAGTGAGTTATTTATTTATTTATTTATTTATTTATTTATTTTTTTTGGGTGGGGGGGGGGGGGGGGGGGGGGAGGGGGAGGACGCATTGCTTGGCTCATTATCGTTGACATTGATTGTCATGTTATTTGTGAATTGATTGTTATAAGATTATACATTGTTTATGTTCTACGTATTCCCCACCAAGTATGATCCCTATCCCTTTTTTATCCTTTTCATTAGGTGTTTAGCTCACGGGAGCTTAAAGTGTGTGTTTTAAGCATTTCCTATTGAGCGAGTGTCGCTCACCTTTTATTTTAACATTTCAAGGTTATGGGAAAGAAGTGGCGGACAATACGCCTCCATAAGCGTAGACATTGACTAGTGACTTATTTTGTGCCAAGAATAGTGTAGGAAGGGGACTTCGTATTTAGTGTTATTATTTTGTGTTTTAACATATAAACAATGTAATTGTGGCCACAGTAGTCTTAACCTTGTAACCATATTCTTTTGAATAACCTTATATTACTCTTGGGCATGTATATAATGATTCTAGCTTCATTTGGTATATGTAACATAAATTGATGGGAGACTGACTATGAGTGCAAATGTTCCATTTTGGCTATTTTATGTATATATGGATGCAAAATGGCATTTCATATTTATCGTAGAGTTTGGGATAGGTTTTTAACTATTCAATGACCAGTAGTGTTTGGGATAGGTTTTTAACTATTCAATGACCACTATTGGGTCCCAAGGGTTAAACTTGGCATTTTATACCAAAATAGGGTGATTTTGGGCATTCTGGAGCAATTGCGATCAATCCTAATTAATTGTGATCAATCACACCCCTATTCTCTGCACATGTTTGTTTTGAACATTATATTTCAAATGACCATAATTTGCTCATTATAAATCCAAATTAGGTCATTCTTGTGCTCAAACTGACTGCCTTGAAACCAAATTTCCAATGATATAAACTTCATTTTCAAATTTGAAGCACACAAAGATTTATGCCCTTTTTAGTAGAACTTACTCATATAATCTTCTAAATTAGGAGTGGGTAATACAACCACAGAAAACTTATGGAATAGGTTTAATTAGTTAATATGATTAGAATTTACTCATTTGGAGTCAACACATCCTCTTTCCTTAGTATGTAATGACCGTTTTACCCCCAGTACGTTCTACCCGAAATCGGATCACCGTTTGTTAATGACTCAGATCCATCAGATTTGGGTCGTTACACTTAGGAGTACATCTTATTACGTCAAGACTGGGAACATTAGATTGCAAGGCATTAGTTGATAAAATTACAAGTAGAATTGGTTATTCAGTAAGCATAGTTATTTTTTTTACAAGAAGAATACAGCTAATTCAATCCATTCTAATTAGCATCCAAATGTACTGTGCTAGTATGTTTATTCAACCTTAATCTATTATTCATAATATTAACAGCCTATGTAAGAACTACCTATGGTCAGGTAATGGTCTAAACAACAAAAAAGTTAAAGTTGTTTAGCTTAATATTAGCAAAACAAAATTAGAAGGAGGTCTTGGCATCCCTAAGGTAGAACTCCTCAACAAAGCCTCTATGTTAAAATGCCTATGGAAGGTCATTATTGATTGTAAAGATAGCTCCAGGGCTTAATCGATTCAAGATTATCAAGTGAAGAATAGATGCTTCAAGATGACCCTCTCCGCAACAGATTCGGTTGAGATCAGATTAAGGCAAGTGCAATTCCATTCAACTCTAAGATGAATACATGGATGTCTACAAACTCATGGAACTTCCCAATCTCATTGAGACATACCATTGCTACAATCTTTAAACCCATCCCACCCAAACCCCCCCCCCCCCCCCCCCCCCCCCCGCGGCGGGCGGCGCGCCCGGGGATACATTTATATACAAATTGCTTGACTTTTCGATATATATATATAGATAGAAAGGGAGATGATATTGACGCTCCACAAAACACCTTAGGCTCTACACTCCTATTTATTGATAAATGAAATGACAAAAATAACCTTTAACTATATCTTTATCTTCCCCTCTTCTCACTCCTACCTTTTCTCTCTCTCTCTCTCTCTCTCTCTTTTATGTCCGTACTTTCTCCATTTTTCATCCAGTAGCACCACAATCACTTCTATCTCCTTAAAATAACTATCACTTTCTTATAAATTAGAGACGTAGAATAAAGATGTTACCATTGATAACAAAGATGAAGAAAAGGGATAGTATATAATTCTATACTGTGTAGTTTACTATCTATAGAACTCTATCTATTTGTTCAAGATTTATTTATTTTTCTTAAATAAAGATCACAAACATGAAAAAAGACACAAGAACATTTTGTTTTATCTCCTCAAAGTGATAGGGGAATTTTTTTTTTTTTACCCTTTATATATGTGTTTATATAAGACTGCTCACATGTTTACTGGTGTGCAGAAAATTTATGCACGAATTAAATCTTTACCGTTGGATATAAAAACATAAATTACTCTTTTAACTATCCAATAAAATCTGACAGTTAATACTTGAGGTGTGCATATATTTTCCTGCACACTAAGAAGTAAGTGAATAATTTTGTGTGTGTATATATATATATATATATTCTTGTTCCCCATTGTAGCAAATAATGAATCGTGATGGGAGCGTTTGCAATGACATGGTGGAAGATGGGTTTGAGTAATTTGGTAAGGTGATTAACGGAATAGGTGATGGTTGGTTATGCATGCTGAACCACAAAGCACATTTAGGCAAAGAAAGGAAAGAGATCTGAAGACAGAAGATTAGGGATAAGAAGAGGGAAGAAGAAAGAAATATGAAGGGAGAGTAGAGAAAGATAAAGGATATGAAAGAGTTTTATAATAAAGGCAAAGTGTAGGGTTATATTTGTCAATTTAATTATAAAAGAATAGAAGTGGAGCGCCAGAAGTATTTTGTGGAGCGCCACATCCTTATATATATCTTTCATCATTTCCAATAAGTTTTTGAGGACAACAGTTTCTCTTTGACCAAGAGAACTTTGATCATTTAATACCAATACCTTCCACATTAGTAGTCCTTTTTTTTCTTTTTATGAGTGTCTCAAACTAGTTTTCACATTTAAAAAATCAAAGCAAAATATGTCTATATTTTATAATTACTCTTTAAATTTTTAAAACTATTAAAACTTGGGAATATAAATATTTAAACATCAAATGACAACTTAATAATTTTAAAAGGAATACCTAAAAAATTATAATATCAAAGATTGACATCTAATATGGAAAGGATAACATCATTTGCTTTCAACTACAAGATTGAAAAATTAAGTTCTCATGTTCTTTCCCATATGTCTATTCAACTCGAGTCCAATCTATCTAAATAAATTTTCAAATTTAAACTAATTGGGTTCTTTCCGATATGTCTATTCAACTCGAGTCCAATCTATCTAAATAAATTTTCAAATTTAAACTAATTGGGAGCATGAACAACAATTCAATATTATCAAGTATCAAGCAAACAAAACTAATTAATACTATCATTTACGTATTTCCATTGGATAGGAATTAATATACTAACCCCTTTTTTTTTCTTCTTATTTTTGACATTTGGTTAAAAAATATAGGCAAGTGATAAAGGAGGGAATATACGAGTCGAAGAAGATACAGCATACATGTACGAACATGACAGAATGCTAGGTGTAGTTTATAGAAGATAAGTTTTGATGAGCATAATAAAAAGGTCTAAATGGTTACAACTACAAGTTTGGTGAGCATGAAATGTGTTAGGTCCCTTGGTCTTTGCTCAATTACTACAACCAGCGAATTGATGCCACCATCTACATTGCAGTGGTCAACACTCGCAATGAATATTTTATTTCATGTTTGATGTCAATCGTGTTTGACGTGATAAATCAAACTGACTAGAAATGGATATAATTGTTAACAATTAGTTTGAAATGATTTTAAAGTCAAATTTTAATGGTATTTAAAATTCACAATTAGTTTGAAATGATTTTAAAGTCAAATTTTAATGGTATTTAAAATTCAAACTTTATTAACGTTGAGGTTAAAATTTGCCATGGCTTAGTACGACATCGTTTCCTGTAAAATAAGGACGGCAAAGTCAAACACCGGTGTGGTGCCGGCCGTTGATCTTCCGACGATCAAACACTGATAAGGGTTTCTAGAGAGAAAATTTCAACGATTTTCGTAATAGGTGTTTTTTTTTTTTGTATAGGAAATTTTATCATCCTTATTCCATGGAACTTATTTCATGAAAATCTCATCCTTGATGAGATTTGTCATCATCTCCATATAAATCTTATTCTAGATAAGATTTGTCATCATTCTTATTCATGGAAATCGTTACCCCTAATAACGCAATATTATCGTTGATCACCGAGTAGATCTCATTGTTATTCCCAAATATGGTATATGAGGACGCACCCAAGTCCAATATGCTGGCTTCCTTTAGGACCATTTTCAGTCTTATATAGATATAGATGGAAAACGAGTGAGTAGATCTGGCGGCTGGTCAATACTTAGTTATCTCTATCATTAAGTGAAGGTAGGCTAGATTTATTTTTCCTTATCAATTAATATAGAGATATGTTATATATTATTCACGTCACGAAGGTTAAGTCTTGACATAATAAGAAGGTTGTTTTATTATGATTTGGAGTTCACGGTTTATTATGATTTGGAGTTCACGAATTCAAAGTGATATTAAATTTCTTCACTTGTTGAAGTAAAATTGTACTATACTAAATTGTATTTTTTTATTTTTAACATCAATAACCTCTAATAAGATTGTGCATATTCAGGTACGGACCTATGCAACATAGTGGGGGTAATTGTTCCCATTGAACTTTTCATTTTTAGTATTATATACCTATATAATACTAATATCGTCCCCACTGGAATTATAAAAAAAATTCACTATTGTCCCCATTCAATGATTTAAATTTTTTTTTTTAATTTTTTTTTTATCTTGATATTGTTAAAGTTCACCCCCTCAAACTTAATTTTCCTAGGTCTGTCTGTGTGTATATTAAACTAGGAATGCAACTTGGGCCGAAAAATCCGATTATGTTTCAAATTATGATCACCTTTTTCTTTTCAACTTCATTTTTTTTAAAATCTTAATTTATTTTATGCTAATTAACACTTTGGATAATTAATTTCCTAAGAATTTATTTGTAAATTTTAGCGATATTAAATTTCTTCACTTGTTGAAGTAAAATTGTACTGTACTAAAATGTGTTTGTTTTTTAAACATCAATAACCTCTAGAAAGATTGTGTATATTCAGGTATGGATCTAAGCTGCACAGTGGGGTAATTGTTCCGATTGAATATTTTATTTTTCTTATTATGTACTTATAAAATTTTAATACCTTCCCCACTGGAATTATAAAAGAAAAAATTTACTATTGCCCCCACTCAATGATTTATTATTATTTTGTGTTATCTTGATGTTGTTAAAGTTTGCCCCCTCACACTTAATTTTCCTGGGTCCGTCGTGATGTATATTAAACTAGGGATGCAACTTGGGCCAAAAAATCTAATTTCTAATTTTAATTTTATATATTTTTATTTTTAATATATTATACATATGTTTCAAACTATGATCATCTTTTTCTTTTCAACTTTTTTTTTTCAAAATCTTAATATATTTTGTGCTGATTAACACTTTGGATAATTAATTTCCTAAGAATTTATGTGTAAATTTTAGCGGTATTAATTATTAAATTCCTTTACTTGTTGAAGCAAAATTGTACTACACTAAACTGTGTTTTTTTAAAACATCAATAACCTCTAGTAAGACTCTGTATATTCGGTACGGACCTATGCAACACTCGTATTATATACCTATAAAATTTTAATACCGTCCCCACTTGAATTATAAAAAAATTTCACTATTGCCCCTACTCAATGATTAAAATTTTATATTTTTTTATCTTGATACTGTTAAAGTTCGCCCCCTCTCACTTAAATTTTCTGGGTCCGTCCCTGTGTATATTAAACTAGGGATGCAACTTGGGCCGAAGAATCTGATTTCTAATTTTTATTTTTAATATATTATATATATGTTTCAAACTATTATCACCTTTTTCTTTTCAACTTCTTTTTTTAAAATCTTAATTTATTTTATGTTAATTAACACTTTAGAAAATTAATTTCCTAAGAATTGATTTGCAAATTTTTATAAATTTGCTTAAAGAAAAAAAAAAAAAAAAAAATGCCTAAAAGTAATATAATCTAAAACAGACTCAACATCACATTAAATGTTAGTGTGGAGATTGGTTATTATGGGCAACCAAAATTAAACTGGCCTTCTAATCCGAAATCTCAGCCCGAGCTATAATCTAGATCTTTAAAATTTCAAGAATAGACAGAACTCAAGCTAAATAGTTAGGGTTAAAGGTTGGGTTAGGACTGGATAAGGGTTGAGCAATTTATTTGTTGAATTGAGTCCAAGTTATATTTCTAACCCGCTCAAATTGGAGCCCTACTAAACCCATTCAAGACTCTGCAATGGGCTGGCCTGTTTTGTACATTCATATCGTGCAACCACATCCAAACATCCTATTGAATGTTCAAATTGCATGTTTAGCTCGAAAAACATAAGATCAAATTCTAATATCAATTTTTAAAAAGAATAAATAAAATGAAATGTTAAAAATCAATTTTATATTCTATTTATATCTCCCAACAGCCTTAATCATAATGTAACACCACATTAGCAAAACCATAACATGTGGCAATGAAGAGGTTGGGTAAAAGCATGTGCCATAGATTTATGGTATTGTAACCATGACAATAAGACCACACCCTAGAACCTCATATTTTTCAAATGGAACATGTGTAGGGTCCATTGGAAACCTAACCACAGTGAACTTTAATGACGTGTACAACCCTCTCTGGAAGAAAGATCTTGGATCCCCCTTGGTTAGTTCCTAGTTACTAAAATTATTTTATTATATAATAGTTTGATGAATTATTTATGAATTAATTTAAATTAGATTTGATAATAATTAGATATCCTTTGTAATAACCTGATTTTTTAAATTATTTAACGTATTATTAAAAAAAAAAAAAATTAATGTCGAAGGAGATTCCCAAATAATGATTAAAAGAAGAAGAAAAAAGTCAGAGAAGACAAATAAAAAATGAACAAAAAAGAGAACAAAATTAGTATTTGTACAATTGTAAAAGAAGGCAGAAGAAGAAAAAGAAATAATGTTAAAAACATTTTGAGACTATAAAAATAGTAATATATTATAGAATAAAGGCATATTATAATTAGTAAGTTTGTTTAATTAACAAATTTTCAATTTAAATCGTTAAAAGATTATTAAATTAAATTTTCAATTTATATTAAAATCATTAAATTAAATTCGAACCAAAATTCAATCCATCAATAGATTTAATGATAATATAGTTTAAGTCGCATAATTCTTTTAAACAAGTGTTATTTTCGCACTTCACACACGTTCTTGCTATCGTTCTCACTTTATGTAACTTAAATTTTGTTATAAAAACTTTCACTCTTACTATGTGTAACTTAAACAAGAACTCAAGGTCATTGATCCAAACAAGGCCGACCCAAGATTCATAGTGGCTCACTTTAGCATATGTTTATAAATAAATTAACCAACAGCAGCAAACAGAATCTGACAAATCTTAGACTAAACAAATTTAAGATATCAAGAAGATAAAAAGGAGATAGATAGCATAGAAAAACAAGGTAATGAATGATTTTGAATTGTGTACATGGGGACCAATCTTCTTTAATGACAACTGTACCCCCAATTGTACTAAAACCTTTGGGAACGAGAGGGAACATCTTATCCATGTCAGAATCGAGTGCATACACACACAGTTGTGTGTGTGTGGATTAACAACAATGAAATTTGATGAATGATGATCAGTGGAGGCTTCAATGGAGTAAATCACGGCAGAAACCAAGACATGTTATTATAGGTTGGCAAAAGGAGCCCACAATGGACCTCTGGTCATGTGGGTGGTCCAGTTTTAGTTTTTTATTATATTTCAATATGTAAAGCGTCAAAATGGACCAAGTCACTTGATACCATGTGGCAAATTCCAACTGGAACAAGATATTAAACACACAGCATTGTAAGTCCGATCCGTATAATCTCCTCTCTCAGAAAAGAGTTTGAGAGTTCGAGTTGCTTTCGAAGATGAGTTTGACAGAATTCTTTGATTGATCAAATGCTTTTAATTGGTTAATGTACACAATATATAAGGAAGTGAAACTCCCAACTTTTTAAGAGGTATTGGGTGCGTCAATGTATGCAATATATAAGGTAGTGGAACACCCTATTTGTTAAGAAAATATTAGATGCGTCCGATACACCATCCACCAGGCTCATTCGAGTGATACATGTTGTGCACGAATATGCATTTGTTGTCCACGTATAGTTTAGATGAGTCAGTGCGCCAAATAAATATTTATTAACTGATCATCTTTCCTGTTTGCTTGGTTAAAATAAAATAAAAAATCGTTTGAACCCTTCAAATATATATTGGTTATAATATGAACAAGATATAATTTAGACAAGTCCACCGGTGATTTACAAGTGACTAAATTGGGAAATTTTTAATTAAATATTTGTGTTTTTTTTTTTTTCCAGCTGGAGTTGGATCAAATTTCAAAGAAGTAAGACTAATTTGTTTTTCCCTTGCAAGAGGAAAAGAGGAAAAGAGGAAAAGAATAATTTATTACTAATATTATAAAATTCTATTATAAAAAATATTTTATAAAACATCTGGATCCTCTTTTATAATGATCTCTACTCTATTAGGACAAAATCTGTGAACACATTAATTCTGTTCTTCAACATGTTTATTCTATTTTTCAACACAAAATTTTTCAAAACACATTAATTTTGTTTTTCAATACATTACAACATCTATTTTATTTTTCAACACAGAACCTTGTTTTCAAATGAGGATGAGCTCATTTTATAAAACCCAGTCATTGCAAAGTAAATCAAAAATTGCATTGCACTAATTGTGGAAGAAAAAGGTGGTTCTTAAAAGTGATTGTGCCCCTCTCTCTCCTGACATACTTTATAAATACAACCATAGTAGCCAATACCCTCCCATCTCTCTCTCTCTCTCTCTCTTTCTTTCTCTCTCTATCTAAAAATGAAAGTATTGATCTCACTTCTGATTTCTTTCTGCTTGCTATTCAGTGGTTCTGCTTTTGCTGCTGCTACTCTGGAAGGTAAATGCCCAATTCTGCATTCATTTTGCTTAGTTTTTAGAGTTTGTCACATTATAATATGTTCTGTTAAGTTGAATCATTGTATTTATTTAGAAATCTATGTCCTAACTTTACCCACAAAAAAAAAATTGTATGTGAGCTGGGTGTTTTTTTCTTGATCAGCATTGTTCTCTTTCTCAAATACACACACATTTTCCAAAGTTTCTTTATATATTTCAACTTTAAAAACAGTGTTCACTGATAAACTAACATTTGCTCTGTTTCTTTGATCAGGACTCCTCCCAAATGGCAACTTTGAAGAGAAACCAAAACCAACCTCCCTCAATAAAACAGTGCTCATAGGGAAACACTCACTCCCCAAATGGGAAATCAATGGCCTCGTGGAGTACATCTCCGGCGGGCCCCAACCGGGCGGGATGTACTTCGCGGTCGCCCACGGCGTCCACGCCGTGAAACTGGGCAACAAAGCCACCATCTCTCAGACAATCGTAGTCAAACCAGGCTCTCTCTATGCACTCACATTTGGGGCAACAAGAACTTGTGCACAAGATGAGGTTTTGAGAGTCTCGGTGCCTCCTGAGACAGGGGACCTTCCTCTGCAGACACTGTACAGCAGTAATGGTGGTGACACTTATGCTTGGGGGTTCAGAGCCACTTCTAATGTTTCTAAGGTCATCTTCCACAATCCTGGGGTTCAAGAGGATCCTAGTTGTGGGCCACTCTTGGATGTTGTTGCCATCAAAGAACTTTTCCCGCCAAGGCCGACAAGAGGTATATATTTCTATCATTTTGCTCCAATAGTATATTGTTTCATTTTCTTGCTCCTTTTGAGGGTTTATAGTTAATTTGATATGCTTCATAAGCTCTGTGGGTTCGTTAGGTTAAGATGGAAACTAAGATGAAAACTAAAACGAGAAATAGGTCAGATGGAAACTAATGCGAGAAAGTGAAAGTAAAAGGGAATGAAGTGAATAAAAATAATACAAAAAAAAATTCAGTTTACAAGAAAATTTAAGAAAGCTAGTATTAGACATTGTTGTAAATTCATGATATCTCTTTCAAGAAATCAAAATTTATTTATTTATTTATTTGAGAAAATTTTATGAAAAGGTTAGGTAGTTATAGAAATGACTTTCCCTTGAAATTATTTCCTTGCTATTTTTATCTAATCCAAAGGAACCTTATGGGAGTTGGGCTTTGTTGCCTCGTGAAGTATCATGTCTCGGATTCGATTCTTTCTAGATGCAAACAATTCCTTAGGGATCATGCGGCCCACGGGCATAGTCCAAGTTTACCCGATCTGTGTTGGGTTGGGGGGGGCCTTGCACAGATCCTGTGAATTAGTCGAGGCAAAGCTCCGGACACCCCAGCTATCGAAAAAAGAAACGAAACCTATGGAATATTTACTTTTTCTTCACAACTCTATGTCTCTGATGTTAATATGGTTCGTTTGGAATTGTAGTTTTGGTTTCATTGTTAATTAGTCTTTCATTGATTTCCTACAATCTACTTATTTTCATTGGCCTTTATCCTGATATCAGTTCAACCCTGATTTTGTAACTATTTTTTTTCTTTTTCTTTTGGTTCTTAAATCTATTTTTATGTGTGTTTCTGATCAATCATGTCACACAAATACTAAGCATTGTTTGTAAATTAATTTTTGATTTTATATTGGTGTAATCTATGTTGGAACTTTATGGATTTGGTCTATTTTGTTAACCATTTCTGGCAGATAACTTGGTGAAGAATGGAGGTTTTGAGGAGGGTCCACATCTGTTGACAAACTCATCCCATGGTGTTCTCCTCCCTCCCAAACAGAAAGACATCACCTCCCCACTCCCCGGCTGGATCATCGAATCCCTTAAAGCCGTCAAGTTCGTAGATTCGAAGCACTTCAACGTCCCCTTTGGACTGGCAGCAGTTGAACTGGTTGCTGGTAGAGAAAGCGCCATTGCCCAAGTGATCAGAACAGTTCCCAACAAGTTCTACAATCTCTCCTTCACGGTGGGAGACGCGAAGAATGGTTGCCACGGCTCCATGATGGTTGAGGCATTCGCGGCGAAAGACACCCTGAAAGTTCCTTATGAATCGAAGGGGAAAGGCAAGTTCAAGACAGCTGGTTTGAAGTTCAAAGCAATGTCAGCCAGGACCAGACTCACATTCTACAGCTCATTCTACCATACCAAAGCTAATGACTTTGGAGCACTTTGTGGCCCTGTCATTGATCAAGTTAGGGTTTACCCTGTTGCTTAGAAGACAATAATAATTATCACTAAACTACATATAGGGTTATGAGAGAAAGAAAAGAAAAGAAAAATAGATAAATAGAGTTTCTGCAAGTTTATTTGGTCCCTCTTTTGCAGAGTGACTGTTTATGAGGCATGTGTTCTACATCCTATTTTACTTGAGTTATTTAGATTCTTGTACCTTTTGCAAGTATGATATTATCTTTCTATGGTGCTGCTAGTATGGGAAGTAACATAAAACTAGGATCAGAATCTAGTTCTTTGAGCCAATGTGTTCGTGTTCGATTCCCCTCTCCCATAGTCTGTTGGTTATATATATGTAAGAGGTGGTCTGAATTTTTTTTAACTGAATAAAATTAAAAAAAGCTACTGCAATAATAGCAATACTGGTAGCAGTAGAAATCTCTTTTTCATTCTGCTATATTACAAGCCATATCATCTCTTATATTTAATTTTATTTTTTAAGATCATTTCTAATTACCTCATGCCATATTTAATTTTTTTTTAAAATGTTTTCTAAGTACAGTGTTTATGTCCAAATCACCCAAGATCATTTTGAGAAAGTATTGAATACCCTAGGGACATGATACCTCATGACACTAGCCACCCTTGGATAATAGATGTGGTGGTGGGGCCCACCGCATCCAAGGACTAAGATAATCCCGGAGTATTCAATATTTTCTCCGGCACTTCCACCTATAATCCATTTCAACATTCGTAGTTCTATCACATGAATAATAGAAACTATGTCAAATTTAAATGACTATGTCTTCATGTTAAATGGAATTTTATCAAAAGTTTACATTTTAAAACTCTAGGTTTATAAGTTTATAATTTTTTATTTTAAAGACAATTTTATAGAGTAGCTCAAATCTTCCCTAATCAAAATATAAGAAAATTCTACACACACGTATTGTCATCTAATTGATCCTAATCCTCCATAAGACAAAAGGTTTCATAATAAACTCAACCAACCAAATAAAATAAGATAGCTTTAAAATAAATAAATAAAAAAAAACCAACTCTTTGAATAAATGGATTTTACAAGTGAAGAATAGGGGGAGAGAGTGGTTGAGTTCAGTATTATATTGTCATTTAAGTGATCCTAATCTGGTTCTTGCTATTTACAAAAAGCTAGTTTCAATGCCACAACACTTTTGCTTTCAAAGAAATTCAACCATGATAGCATTTCTTCTCATTGCATCTATAATAAGTACAATTTCAACACATCTAACAGCATAAGCAATGGTTGCACAAGTCCAAAAAATGGGCATTTTATTCTATACAAGTATGTTCATATACATTTTATGTATATGATATATTTATATGTTATCCTGGTGTTGCTCTTGTACAAAATCAAACAAATGCCAGAGCAAAATTATTGCAAATGGTACAACAATGGTATTGTCTAAAAATTGTAGACCTTATAGTGTCTCTTAGGCCATATATGTTTGGTCTGAAGAATTGAGCAAATGGTACAACAATGGTATTGTCTAAAAATTGTAGATCTCATAGTGTGTCTTTTAAGCCATATATGTTTGGTCTGAAGAATTGAGCAGAGCATCTCTTTTCGGTTTTCCCCCGAAAACGTTGTCCCCTTCACCGACTGTCATCTAAGGTGCCCACAAGGCACTTCTCTAATAAGAATTCAGCATTCACCCAAGCATGGTATTTATCTAAATAACGGATAAGGACGGCAACTCTTGGAGAGTATCGATCTTTTAAGCGACGAGAAAACAGAGTACAGCTAAAAGAAAAGAGATGAAAAATAAAAATAGAGAGAGCAACATACATATAATGAAGGCCTAAAGAGGTCTTGCGTGCTGGAATTCAGAGTTTTGATAATATTCAACATAAGGCAACTTAAAGAAATTAATAGCAACTCTTAGACTTAACAGATTAACAGAGTTTAATAACAAGGTCCAAACAGTGAGTTAAAATTTTTTAAGGAATATACAAATTACTCAATTCAACAAAGCAGTTTCCCAACTATCATTTCTAATTCTATCCTAAAAAATGTCCATGTCACATATTCATCTCAAAATTCGCATTATCACCACATCCACTTTATGCGTGTTGTTTCTTAACTGCACAACATTCTGTTCCATAAAGGAATGGTTGACCTAATATTCGTCTTATAGAACTTCTCTTTCAATCATATAAAGATAAGCCAGTCACATAGTATACTACACGCTCTGATTCCCCTTTGATGTGAATAATTGGGCCTACCAAAAATAAAATCTTTTGGTATCTATTGATCCACTGCATCCCCTATTTGTATTTCTAGATTTACTAAAGTTATATTTCTTATATATTTAGTTTTATTCTGCTAATCTTAAATTGTTTCAATTCTAGAGCTTCCTATCAAACTTCCAATTAGGGCAAATTGCATTAAAAAAAAACCCTCTACTTTCAATTTTTGGCACAAAACCCCCCTGCAAAAGAAATTTGACATAAAAAAACCCCAACTATCCTATTCGTTGCAAAGTGATTTTATAATGACGAAAATGTCCCTTAATATAAATTTTACTCCTCTAGTTTCATCGATTAAACAATATCTTCAGCAATCATAGAAATTACTAAGCATTAGAAAAGACTATCAAAGGATACTGAATAAAGACGTGCAATCTTTTCCAACTGCCTTCATGAGTAGATCAACACCTGAAAAAAGGAATTATCAAACCAACCATATTTTAGGCATAAAACATGCACAAATTGTGGGATGGCGAAAGGACACATAAATAAATGATTTTGTAACTGCCAAATTCTCGCATAAGCATAATGAAAATCCTTAACTAATATATTAATACTGTCATTTGTACAGTCTGTACAAATGAGAGTGTTTTAGTAGTTAAGAAAGTAGCCCAGAGAGTGAAGCACATAAATTAATTAAATGACTAATGTGAGAGGACAAACCATAACAAAAAAAAAAAAAAACCGCCAGTATTGAGACCCTAGAATGAGCAAAACTAAAACAAAACAAATAGAACTTCCATGGTTAAATGTTGTTCTTGTGATGGGAGTCCCACATTTTATGTCAATAAAGCTATGGAAAGTCAAGCCTGGACATTTAATGTGAACTATTCAACTCTTTCCTATTGATCTGGTCACTCAATATTTCCATATGATTGAAACATAATATACATCACGCTAGAGAGAGAGAGAGAGAGAGAGAGAGAGAGTGAAATCAGAAATTTAGATCAGAAGATAGTGAAAATTAATATTGTGGGAGTATCTTAAAGAAACCATTTATTCTGAGTCAATAAGATTCTTTACGTGAGAGAAATCATGGGAAGGCTGCACTGAAGTATCCAATAGACAAGAAGACCTCTCTATAAAACCATCAGTGTTGTCCATGCCATGTTAAATATTATAATTTATAAGATGGCTAAGAACCACATGCTTCATAATTATACTTGAATCTGTAAATAGTAAGCTGTAGCCAATTGGGAAAAGGTTGTAAGGATAAGCTCAGATGGTAGTCCTATGCCATCCAGACCAACGAATGCATCCAAAAAAATGACCATGACTCAAACTGAAAGCACTATGAGGAGAAGAAGAGTGAGACCGGAACAAAAAGTTGATTGTGGCTGTAAATGGCAATAAATATACAGTTACAAAAATAGGCACATGCAAAAATGAATTGGTATAAAGAATCAGGTAGATAAAAATTATTGTTTATTTATTATTGTTGTTATGCATGTCATGCCAGATAAGGGACAAGTTATGCATATTTCAAATATAAACCATATCATCAAACTTGAAGTTAGTCATAAAAATAAATGTCAAAACAAATTAAAATTTTATGAAGTTTTAGTTTAACAGAGTGAACTCATCGTATCATTCTTAATTTTTTTTTTTTTTTTTCCTAGTTGGGACTCACACACACTGCCTCCACTGAGGTTCGAACCTCTTACCTCTCCCTTTGAGAAATAGGAGTCTTGTACCACTAGGCCACAGACCTGTTGGTCATTCTGAATTTCTAGTATTTGGCTAAAAATATTCCTATTGATGACCTGGTTGATTCAGTAGTAGTTACTTCTCTTGCACGAAGTGAAATAACCACTCTCTCCATGATAGACGTATGATGAATGTGAAACAATAAAAAACTCTAGCAATCAGATTTCATTAGAATGCACAGTAAAAATACGCCTACATTCTTTAATGTATTGTGCTAAGGTTGTTTATACATTGGGTAACTCACCTTTATAGTGTTTAGAGTCCCAAAAACACTATGATTTTGAGTGAATCAATTTGAAAGGAAACAATATTCGAACTGTTTAATCGATAGATTCAGGTTTCCATCGACTGACACCAGGCCAGTAGGGCAATATGCATAAGATTCTGATTTAAGGAGTTTCCAAAAACATTTTTATGCATTTTGAAAAGGATCCATATAAATCATACAGAAAACATGAAACTCTAATTGTCGAATGAATGAACCCTATTTGATGAGTGTCCCAATAAAAGTTTTTTTTTTTTTTTTTTTTTTTTTGGTAAAGGGTAAGCTGATGTCCCAATATAAGTTGCAATTACCCTTTTGCCCTTAAATGTATGTAGAATTTTGTATTTCCCTTGGACAAGGTACCAAAACTAACTTAACTAATTACGCAATCTAGCAAACACAAAAATAAGAAAAAAACAGATTTCAAGTTTTGATCACAAACTTGCCAACCTAACCCTATAACCTTACAGAGAGAATAATAAATTGAAACAAAGCGAGTAGTTGTTATCTGGAGTGTCTTCCATAGCAATCTTCTTCTTTACCTAATTGCCGAGGCATACTGAAGTCCCTAAGTTGGTTCCTGGGAGTTCTGGCCAATAAGCTTTCCTTGTTCCTATAACCAATGCCTAGGTGTTTATTATAGTCTTAATCGGTCAAGCTAAACCAGTGGTCTAAAATGAATCAGTCATACTCTTTGTTCCTTGAAATGTCATTTTAACTAATCTCAAGTGTTGACTTCCCTTATATGTGACCGATGAAAATCTCCTCTATAATCCAAGATTCCAAACTTCATCCATCAGTCATTGCTCAATCTTTGTTAAGTTAGCCTTTTTTAGTATTCCAAAGCGAATCTTGGATCACTTCAAGTGCCACATTTATGCCATATGGTGCCACCTAGACTGCACATGGGTGGTTATATTTTGGTTCAGACATCTAGCTTTCTGTAAGAAAGGGAAAACCAAACCAGGTCTAAATAAAATCTATCCAACTCTACCGACCAAAATGCTAAAGCAAAGTCTATAAGAAAGAGAAAATACGAGCAGAAATCACGTTTTTTTAGGGCAAATAAGAAATACACTGAGTCAGACTCAATAGGATTTGATCAATCTTTTTTTCCTGTCGTTAAGGTGGAGAACTGAATCAAGAATTCTCTTTCATCATCATCAATCTAAATAAAAAAGGGTTCTCCATCGCACCAATAACAAATTACATCCTGAGTAGGTGAAAGGCAATTATCTTAAAGAAAATCAAACAAAATTTAACTGAAAAGAACAGAGAATCTCAAAAGCACATTCCTTGTTGAATAATGGTGCCAATACATCCTATGGCTAACATTATAAAAATAACCTCACATGAATGATGTATACCAACACACTGGAAAATATGACAAAACAAATTTGTCACTTGATATAAAATAATATCAGCCCCCAGCTCAAGAAGCACGGATATGGAAAGACACAGAAACAAAAATAAACCACACGTTCACATATAGGAGTATAGGACATGGACACAACAAGGAAACAGTAACAAAAACAATTTTTTATAAAAAATATTATATTGCATACGACAAATGAACATTATTTGTAATATGAAACTATCAACTTCTAAATGTATAATCGTAATCATCAGTGTCTTACAAAAAGCATCAAGGAATTGACATATATCCACATCCTGTAGTTGTGGCTTTGTGCAAGTATGTAGACGTGTACTATATTTGCACGCATAATTTAATAACTCCTCTCCTACTCTCACGCCCATTCCAATAAGAAATTACCATATCTTTTTTTTTTTCCTTTTAACTATAGTCAAATGTAAACATTGTTTATGATATTTTTCATACAATTATGCCTCCTTTCATACTAAAAGCAACATTCAGGTCCTGTGCATGTTCAAGAAGGGTTGCTCATGTCTAGTGCTCTGTTCGTTAGGAAGGAGAGAAAATGGGTGGATGGAAAATAGGAGAGAAGGAACAAAATTCATTCGTTCGGTAGGAAGGAGACACAAAGAGAAAGGAAAATAGGAGGGATGAGTCATCCCTCCTCCTTTACAAATTTTCATCCGCTCAAATTTGGGCAGAAGGCAGGAGAGAAAATAAGTGGGCTATTATAAAAAAGTTCAAATTAGGTAATTATCCTTCACAAATATTAATAAACTCCACAATCTCATCTCAAGCAAAATCCTATCGAGAAGAACTCTCCTTAGTTGGACTCTGTCAACCAAATCTCTCAGCAATCTCTGTGATGCAGGTAGCAAACTCTCTCTTGCCCTCACTCGATCTATACACATACACAGATCTACATATAAATATGGTCAGTCTCTTGCTATCGCTCTATATACATAAATAGACCAGGTTTCTTGTTTATAAACCGGGTTTCTTGTTTATTGTGAATTTGGGCTTTATCTTGGATGTTCTTTATTTATATGACTAATATATGATTGAGCAATTGCCCACTATATGTCTAATGTTTTGTTTATAAATATATTAAATTAGGTGAGATTCTGTAATCAAAGTTGATAAATCAGGAGGTGATGAAACCCTTTGATGATGACCAATTGACTGATCCACGGCTGAAGTTAAGCGACCAAAAACTATAAATAAATAAATACATTATGGTGGCTCTGAAAGAAAGGAATAATGGAGACAACAGTTATCCAATGAAAGCCAATCCTGCAACGGCTGGGGTGCATGGATTTAGAGGACTAATACAAAAGTATCATCAAAAGTCCCCAAACCAAGTCCAGTCACTCCAAATTTCAATTATCACAGAGACACCACCTGCTCCTCGTTCTTTTTTTTCATGATGAAATATCATTATATATATATATATATATATATATATATATATATATGACAAATGACAAATTTAATCATACTTATCACATAATAAAAGTTTTTAAAAGTGGTAAAAAATAGTGAGAGTATAATGGCAAAAATAATTTAAAATTTTCTTTCCCTTCTCTCCTAACAAAGTAAGTTGTGAGCTTCTTCTCTTCTCTTCCATTCAACCGAACAAAACGAAAGAAGTTCATAATCTCTTCCCTATGGATGTCTCATCCTTCACCTCTTCTCTCCCTTCCATCCAATTTTCTTCTTTCCTACCGAACGAAGCCTAAAGAATTAAGATTTTTTTTCTCTCTTTTTTTTTTTAATAATGTGGACATGTCTAATGTGTGTCAGACACATATTTAAGAGTGTCCTAGAAGTGTTAAATCTGTTGATGACCGACACAAACATGACTGTTTAAAAGTGTCAATGCTAATAGGTTCTTGATCTTCAATCTAGGACTTGAAAAGAGGGCTTTTTTATATGTAATGAATAAAGTTTAAGCCACGAGCCCAAAAAGAGAGAACTGATACTATTTTACATATATAGACAATGTTCATAAGCATCAGCTCTTTCATTTAATCACATTAAGAAAAGCATCAAATGCACCGAAACATGGCTCAAATTCAAAATAATATACCTGCGTATAATAGAATTGCTGATAAAAGTAGTGCAGTGCAGCAGCAGCAATAGTTGTAAATTGTCATGTTATTATTAACAGTAACATTTACGATAAAATAAATTAATAGAAATTGACAAGTATCAAAATGCAGATTTATACTGCTAGTTTGATATTCATCTAGGGTACAGACTGGAGAAACTGAAAGAAATGTAAAAAAACTTCTTTTTATCACCAACTTGACCCAAAATATATATATATATATATATATATATATATATATAACAAAAGCACAACTAATAACCAAGCTGACAAATCCTTGCTATTATTTTTAGAAAGCTGTTGGCGAACAGTATTTGCTCCGCTAACTATTTGGAAGTTGTTCAAAATAAAACAATATCTAATACCTCCTGGATGAAATCTCATGTATGGCGCTATATTGTAAACACGGCCTTTCAGAACAGTCCACATGGAGTCTTCTGTTTGGTGTTGTTTAACTTCAGCCAATGATATAAGCCTCTTGTTTGACTGCCCCTTCAACCCTGAATTTAAAAAATAAAATAAAAATAAAAATAAATAAAAAGATAAGAAAGTAAATTTAATGTCACAATATCATTAATTGTGGCTGATTGACCTCTTTCTATTAATTAAATTGTTAAGAACATATCAATGAATTATATGGGCAAGCTAGCTAGAAGACAAGCCAACTAAAAGCATATAGACACCCAACCAGTTCATGCTTCCACATCAAGACTAGAACTGTGCTCATGCACATACAGATAGCACTATGATAGAAAATACAGTGTGTAGAGTGAATAACAAACAGATGTCCCTACTTTTTCGCCACCATTCTTCACTAAAACAATTCTAGTAACACACATTACACTTGAACCATAACAAAAGTACATTTCTCCACAAGCTTTCCAAAGCTCTAAACTGTGCAGGGTCCATGCAATGTTCAGTTGAGATACTCAGAATAGAACCACTAGCTTATAAAGGGGAAGTGTGAGCAGGGCATTAACCTGAAATCTATTGAACCATACAGGAAGTACTTTTCTCCGCAAGCAAACCAAAGCTTTAAACTGTGCACAGTTCATGTAATGTTTAGTTGAGATACTCGGAATAGAACCAGTAGCTTATAAAGGGGAAGTGTGAGCAGGGTATTAACTAACACCTGAAATCTGTGGGGGTAAAAATACAAGTAATCCGGCATTATGCAACACCACCATCCAAGCAGCCCACAATCCACAACTACTCATAGATGATATCAAGTTAATAGCAACTATCTAACCAATTTTCTGATGTAACCATAAAGATTTGCATTTCTAAGCTAATGGTTTATCTATCTGTAATCTGCTCCACATGTCCAAATAAGAAACCAAATTAAATTATCACCAGCAGACTACAAGTCAGAGCAAGCAGCACAGTGTATCCCATTACAAACAAAAGGCAACTTTTTCCAGCTCCATCTTTATGTAACATAAACTTTCGAAGGACATATCACATAAAGTTGAATAAAGGTCAAAGGGGATTTAAAATTTTGGACTGGGAAAGCACAACTATTATCTTCTTTAAAGCACGGACACAAGACATGAACATGACACGGACTTGCCAAAACAACTAGTTTTAAAAAAGTAGGAACATACATGTTAAGGACATGAAGTACAAGATATATTTCACATATAAAAGTAATATTGTATTTGACAAAAAAACATTGTTATAAGTACCATTAAAATCATTATTTGTGAATATAATAATAAAAAATTGGTCATGTCGCAGTAAGTATGCAATATATATGTTTGTGTGTGCATATGTAAATATATATATTTATATAAATGTGTGTGTGTGTATGCACTCACATAATCATCACAACACCTCTCTTCCTCCCATGCTAGCTACTTTAATATATGCATGTGCGTGTCTTAGATTTTAAAATACTGTCACACTCCATAAATTTTATAAAAACCACTACTTTGATTTTCCATTACGATTATACTTTGTTCCACACTAAAGAAAATAACTAATGTAAAGTGTCCACAATATAGGTCGAAAAATCAAAATCAATAATTTTACACTTCATATTACATTATACAGACAGTTCAAAACATACTAGACATGCGTCTAAAAGTGTAAGGCGGGTGTTGGTGCACATTACATGTATTCAACTTGGAAACAGCTCTACTTAGAATTGTTTGCACTTCTTAGTTCATCTTCTTGGGTGATTTATAGTAGGAAGATGTAATTGTTTAAAAAGTGTAAAAGGAACCGCATAGCACTCAATTTAAGCTTTCAGATCAAGAAAGAAGGTCTAGAGTCACCCCTAACACTAGCTACACCCGCACTAAAAAAAAACTCTAGCCACACCCGCGTTGCACCAGGGTATTGTACCCTTCAAGACAGAAATGTAGTTAGCCTTTCCCCACCCAGGTAGTACCAACATTCCCCAGCCATGCCTCCCACCAAGGATTTAGGGGCCCTCGGCCTCACTTGGCTTGCATACACACACACACACTTAAGCACTTGGTAGTTGGTAGTTGGTAGTTGGTAAAAGAAGAACACTTGTAAATTACTTAAGGAAGTAGAATATTTTACAATTGAGGGGATTGGTAGGAGAAAATGACACTTATCTCTTTTTACTAGCGTCCCACCTCCTCAATGGAAATTCTAGAATACCCTACTAATAATCCTAGATAATTTTTCATATCTAAAAACTCCACAAGAATCTAGAATGTTCCACATCAATGTATCAGACTTTACATCGCTATACTACCATCTGGAACATTCCAAACATTCATATGCAAAGCTGCACTCCTCTTTAAAAATCCTCGACATAAATGACACTTAACACGTCATGCAGCACACCTTGCAGTCACAAAGTCCTCGCAAGGGCTTTGGGTGGAACCCTGCAAAGAAAAACCTCCTAGTAAACAGTTTGGAGCATGACAATTGCCTCAAGGAAAGCTTCAAGGTACACTTACTTGTTTCCTTTTCTTGTCTTTTCTTTTTCTCTTTTTTTTTTTTTTTTTTTTTTTTAATATATATAAGTTCAAGGTTCACTAGCTTTAGGAAGTTAGAAATAAAATTCATTCTAACAAATCATTTATGAGTCAATAATACAGACACAAATCAGACATATAATTTCAACAGAAATACCAAAGAATGAAGTACATTAACTCTCTAAAGGTCTGAAAGAAGAATTTTAAATATCAGACTTTTCAACATTAAGGATCTAAGAGAACAAAAACGTCTACTCAACTAAAAGCCTACTACAACATTGAAGTGCAAATGAGCTGCAATCACATTTTCTAAAAATCAAAACAATAGAACACTTGGAATTCAAAATTCAGAACTTTTTCCTTAATCCTCAGCAAACAAACAGAAGGAATAAACTATGACCAATAATAATGCAAGCGGAAAAATAGACAATTTGAGTAGTAAGCACCTGCCAGGTCAGGATGTGTTCGGGTAAGCTTAAGCCAGTCCATTTGGCTATACCCTTTCTCAAAAGGAACCTTCTTCCGTGGTGCAGGCTTCTTTGCAGGAGTCTTCTGTTCCTGTGAAACCTTAGATGAACTTCCAGCGTCTGCCGGTGGTGCTTGTGTTGATGTTTCACTACTTTGTTTTAAAGGTGATGTATCAATAACATTAAAAGACAAAGAACCAACCGTTGCCTGCTTCTTCGAGGTGGCATTACTTGGAAAATTGTTTTTCCACAGAATACCACTTCTCTGACAACCACCAGTGCCATCTGCAAATTCATCTTTTATAGTTACACCGCTAATATCAAGCACAGCTTTCTGCGACTTAACACCATCTTGGTCAAGAGGTAAACCAACCTGATATAAAAACAGTCTTGAAATTCACATAATTAAAGAAATATAGAGTACAGCCAAATATTAAGCTCCCACCAAAAAACAAAACCTTCACTTTTTCTTTTTCATTCTTTTTAACAAATTCAACACAAAACAAGAAGATCATTAAGATGTAAAAACATTCTATATATGTTAATTTCAAAAACTTGCCTGACAAAAGGTGAAATCATCATCATTCTCCATGTCACGCTCAATGCAATTCTTGAAATATTTCAAGCAATCTGTACTATCAAATTATTATTATCATTTGAACAACTAAATTGGAAAAATCACATGATGATTTTAAGATTAAAAATAATAATAGTGGTAAAAAATAAAAAAATAAATAAATAACTCAACAACAAAGTTTCACAACAAACAAATCCAAGACAAGACACTACCAATGGGCCATTAGCCCAATGGTATAACCCTCCTCCCTCAAAGGGGAAGTGAGGGGTTTGAACCCCGTAGTGGGCAATTTATGAAATGTGAGTATGAGTACTTACCTAACCAAAAATGAAAAAAAGATACTACAATAATTGGAGCTTCATGTGCATTGTGGTTGGAAGACACGGGACAAATGCAAACGAAGTACAAGTTTTCAATCAAGATGTGGGCATCTCAACCAAGTCTCGACAGAGACGGCCATAATTTATGGCCTGGGTTTAAATATCTCACTTTCAGCCTCCCTCTCATTCTTATTCAAATCTCAAGACCAAAATAAAGAGAAAACGGAACTCCCACCCTACCAAATATAGATTCACAAATTAAGACGTAAAAAAACTCGAGATGTCTGGGCAAATTTACATTTTAAGCGTTCTGAACTCAAGATTAATTGATAAGTTTTGAAGTTTTCACTAAACAACTAGTATATGTGTATATTATAAAAATACTTTATATTATACATGTAGTAGTGTATAATATGCATGTAGTAGTGTACAAGCAAATAAGTAAAACTGTAAAAGTATATGATTCTTAATGTATATTATTTTCTTTTCTTTTTTTTATATGTAAGATTGTATTGGAAAGCCTTCAAACGGGGAACGCATTCCAAAACTACACAAGGCCAAAAAAGCTTCTAAACTCTCTCTGAGTCCCAAAAATCAACTCTCTCTCCCATGTATATTATTTTCAAGTACCAACTACAAGTATACTCATTTCTTACATGATTTTTCTGAATTTTACATGTTGACTTTTTCTTTTAATATGCACTTGAGGCCGTAAATTTAGTGCAAAGTGCAAATTATTACATCTGACAACGCTTACAAATTTAATTTATAGTCCATTAATTATATAAAATCACCTTTAAATATTCGATAAAAATCATTAAAGACATGGTTTCATTGAATTCTGGATTTAAAACTTGTAAATTGATTCGTTTTGATCACGTTTCCCAACACTACACATGTAACAGCTTGCTTCATGTACACCTATTTCTAGTATCTATCAATGTTTGTGCTTGTTCCACAATGTTATTCATATCAGAAGCGCAAAACAAACTTATTAAAAGAGTTATTCTTCCATACAAGATAGAGCCACAGCCAAGAAAAATCAAAGTCAAACTTTACCAGGAACATACTTTTGAATATGCACATTATAGAGTAATATAAAGAATATCAAATAAAACCCTAGCCTTTGTTACAATCGTATCGAAACAAGAACACGGTAGCGAGATCTTACCAGCGATTTCGTCGAGCGCGAAGAACCCTAGCCTGATATCAGCGATTTCGTCGAGTGTGATATTGCCCTGCGATTTAGTAGAGGAATATATATCCGAAATGGTTCCAAAACAGAAGTCATGGCAACGTGATGAAATCTAAATAAATTTGCATAAATTACCCCTTCCTCCCCTCCAATTAGATGAAATTACACAGACTTCCTTTTATATACAAAAATAACACTTACCTCACCGGTCAAATACGTCATCCTCCATTAAAAGTGCAATGTATTTGTATTTCAAAGTCAAAAGCCGGTGTCTTTTCTCCTCTCCATCTTCTACCAAATATTTTATTGCATGTCAGAGTTAATATGTTCTTCTCCTATTCCCCTCTCTCTAGATTATACGGGAACGCCAAGTGCTTATTCAGCGAGAAGGAAGTAAGAGGTGTAAAAGGAAGAATAGTTCGAGATAAGGAGACAAAGGATAATACAAGAAATAAGTCATCTTCTCTATTCTTTTATAAATTTTTATTCTTTTAAATATGAGCAAAAGAAATGACAGAAGAAGATAAATGAGTATTATAAAAGTTTTAAATTACTATTGTCCTAAATTATACAAACACAATAAGTTATTACCATCCTAAATTAAAACTTTATCTTCCCTTCTCTCATAAAGAACAAAATAAATTGTGAGTTTATTTTTTTTTTTCTATCTAACCGAACAAAAAAAGAGATACAATCTCTTCTCCAAGAATCTCTCATCCATCATTTCTTCTCTCCCTTTCATCTAAATATTTTCTCTTAAGCATAAGGCTTTGTTCATCAAACACGGTTTGTAGTTTAAAGTAGGGATGTCAAGTTGTCAACGGAGCAAATTTAGGACGGGCACCCCTTTTTTAAACCCGTCCCATCAATAAAATCGTTTTGCAAACCCAATTTAAAGCGCCTCGATACATAATTAAAATATATATATATATATATATATATATATATATATATATATATATATATATTCATCCTCAAACAAATTTAAGATAAATTTTGTAAATTTGTTTTAGTATAGTAATAAATTTAATGACCATGATAACAAAAATGTTAGTAAAATTTAAAATTATTATAAGAAATAAAGAAAAATTATAACTAATAAAAGAATATTTATTTTTATATTGATTATCAAACGGGGTGGGTTTGGGGCTTTGCAGGTTCTAAGTTCTTTTCTCAAACTCACCCTTAACCCTATTTGGATGATCTCAAATCCGTCCCAACAAAATCACGATGATGAGGGGTCCGACGGGACGAGTTAAATTGATATCCCTACTCCAAAGCACCTTCAAAACTATCCGATCATTTTGCAGAGGCCAACTTCAAGCAGAGTGACTAATTGATGATTGATTTGTTTTCTATGTGTTTGGACAAAAGTGGGGAACCAGCCAACGAGGTGGTGATAAAGTCAAGGCAAAGGTAGGAGTAGGTCTAGCAACACTCTCAATGAGGTAATAATTTGCTTGGCATGTTTGTGTTTTTTAATGCATTACATATGTATTATATTGTGTATCGAAATGAGGTGAGTAATGTGTTGGTTATTGTAACGGCCCAAACTCGGGGGGTCCAAATCGTTAACCGCGTCCTAACCCGACCCTGGAACACACAAGGACAAAATGGTCATTATGCACCTTACTATATGTTAGGAGTCATAACAATAGCGTACCAATCATGTATAACCAAAACGGATCCTGAACGAATGATGACCTCGACTTCAAGTTCATCAAGAACGACCCTTTTCGAGTTTAAAACAAAGAAGTTATGAGCATTTGAAGTTTGGATTAACATAAGTATAATGTCAGACCAATTTGTGCTCAAGCTCAACCTTGTGCTCAAGCACAAAAGTTTATGCTCGAGCATTGGCCACCCTGCAAAAAATTATTCTCAGCTAAGGCCCTATACTCGAGTACTAACCTTGAAAAATGGCCAAATGCTGCTATAAAACTACAGTATGGGTCAAACAAATTGCTTAGGTACTTAGATGCATTCTCATAGATCAAAATTGTTTTGAATTATGGTCACGCACTTGGGTACATCGATAAATAAAGTTTATACCTCAACATTAAGCATTAATCTAACACCTATAGGGTCAAATATGCTTTGTAGCATTCAAATTCATAACATTGCTTCCTTACACCTCAATATACATAAAGAGTGGTTCAATTAAGTACAAGTTACAAACTTAGACCCTTACGGTCGAATTTACAACACTTTACAAAAATTTACATCAACTTTGCATTTGATACAAAAATAATCAAAGTAAGCCTCCGTCAACCCTAACTATGCTCGTGCGTCATTAACCACGATTCTGTCATAACCTGAAAAATGTTAATGGAAAAGGTGAGCACAAAGGCTCAGTAGAAGACACCTAAGGCGCCAACTTTGGACTCCCTTGAGCCACACATCACACATTGGGAATAAAAAGAAAATTGGATCATACTTGGGAGTTTTATAGCCTTTAATTCACAAAATCAATCCATCATCCATAGTTACACTTTTCAATGAATATGCATAGGATGTAATGCAATGTCCCATGATTCCCAACCTTGGTCTCAACCGACCCCAAACTTGGCCTCTACCGGCTCTAAACTTGGTCTCTACCGACCCTAAGCTCATATTTTTTTAAATCGCTATCAATTTTACCGAGGCGAGGTTGATTACTATTCCTAGTTCCAAATCCGGCAACCATTTGGGGCCTATTATCAACTTTTTCACGTCCTACACCGAACCGCACTCCCTCTAGGTCAAGTTAGTACCAGACTTGCGAAATTTGGTTCCTTTTTATAAAAATCTTTTTAAAACCCTTTTTCTTATTTCCCTTTTTCCCCATGCCATGCATATGCCTCAATCATGTCATTTGACTTCATTTTCATCAAAATAGCAACACATGGGATAACCATAGTATTCTCTACAACATGATCATGACATGGCATTTTCAAGATGACACCGATACACTATATACGTCAACACAAGGCTCTGAAGCCCACAAAGAAATTGTCACTAAACCACCGAATTACAACGACATCCAACCTCAACTCATCCTTTAAAGGATACACAAAACTCAGGGCAAAGGAATCCCGACTACTACCTATCAAGTCCTAGATCTAGGTCGATACATTCTCGACAACCATTCTAATGCTACCTAATACGTAGCTCCACCATTACCTAACTGTACAAGTAATTACCAATCGCAACCTCTAGTTTCATTATCTTTAGCATCTCTCAAGATGGCTTAACATTAAATCTCCCAATGACTACATAAACATGAGTCACTCAATTATTAAAGCGTATTACTAGGTATTCAGGACCATGAACTATGATACCCCCTAATTTCAAAGACATATGTTGATTAAGTCTACACTCAAAAATTAGGGGATATCAAAACAATTAATATTTAAACAAGAACAAATTTCGAAAGGAATAAAAAAAAAATAATTAAACCACTAAAAAAAATCTAATAAATATTAATTCCATTAATAAAATTCCAACTTAAAATCCATATTAAATATTCTCTAAAGAAACAACTCGGAAATCCCGTAACTCGAAGAACCCTTAACCAAAATCCGATATCCAATAATCAATAACAAATAATACTAAGAATAAATAATTGAATGATGTCCTACTTTGAAGCAATTGAAAAGAATAGATGATAGATAAGTCTCTAAGCTACGGATCCTCAACCTTGAGACTTGAGCTTCTAAAACCTGAAAAGATTAAAGATAAAGTGGGTCAATCTCATGAGCAAGTTCTCTCTATCAAGCCTCTGAAAATCGATAAATAATACATCTCTAACCATAACCATCCTAAAATAGTTTTTTATCATTTAATAAAAGATGATAAATAGTAATTACACAACATCTTAAGATTAGTTAATACAACCTAGACTCCCATCCATAGATAACCATATATATATACATATGTGTGTGTGTGTACAAACTCTATATACAAAGCTAAATAAAACATCCCCTTTGGAGATCACTCCCTCAGCCCTTAAATTTAATACTTTAACTTAATAGCCAATAATTAATATTTTAATTGAATATGCGAATATTTACTTCCCTTTACCCATAAATATAATATTAAGAGATATAATGTATTCATCTAAATTCACATAGCATTCATTCTTTTTATGCATTGGCAACTAATCCATGCTTCCATAAGTATAGTTTTGTCTACATTATCCAAATGACAATCTATTTAAGTCTTAGCAACTATTCCATGCCTCCTTAAGTATGATTGTGTTCATACTTATAAAATAACATATCAACCATGTTTCCTTTATATATATTCTATTCATACAATTAATAAGGCAATATATTTATGCCTGTGGCAACTCATCCATGCCTCTACACAGTCCATATGTCAACATTATTGTGATACCCCCAAATTTTCGTGCGTGGGTTGATCAAGTCCACACTCAAAAATATGGGAATATAAAAAATAATTGATAATAAACAAACACAGAATACAACATAAGTAGAAACTGAATGGATAAATTAAGCAGAAGGGAAGTCTAAGTGATAATAGGATTACAGTCATCCGATATAAAATAAAAGTTCCAAAATACAACTTGGGAATCTCATAAAGAAGACCCCTAAATTCGAAACCAACTACATAACTGAAATAGACAAGTCTAATATCTAAATAGATAAAACTCCTACCCTGGAGTAAATAGTAAGAGTAGATGTAAGGTAGATGCAACGGACAGCAAAAACCTTAGCCCTGCGGATGAAACTGACGAGGGCCTGAAATGTTTCAACAAAAGGTGGGTTAGACCCATAAGCAAGTCCTCTCAACTACATCCCAACAGAGAATCGATAAAATAATCATCTCAAATCAAAAACCATACCAGTACTAATATCTATTAATATAGAAATATACACCACAAAAATATAAATTATTAATCACTGATATGCAATAAAAAGTGCAATGAATTCCACAAATGATAAGTGTAAAAACACAATAACAAGAAACTCAATAATAATCAACCACGTACCCAACAGCCATAAAATCTGTCCCGGTAAAGTGAGTCTAAACTTATTAGTAAGCTCACGTGGTTCCATACATGCATATAAATAACCAACCACATACCCAACAGCCATAAAATTTGTCTCGGTAAAGTGAGTCTAAACTTATTAGCCAGTTCACGTGGTTCCACACAGGCATATAAAAGTAATAATGATTGTAATTTAAATGACATAATAATTTCCATAAGATGCACACATCATAAAACATGTTAATGATTGATATCATCAATGGCTTATAAACTAATTAAATTTCAAATAACATTCGTTATATTTTAATATATAAAAACTATGGCAT